TAACAAAAAAAAGAATGAACAATAAATCAGATGTGGAAAATAAATGCTTAGAATTAGAAATAAAAACTGAAAAACAACATATATATATATATATATGTATATATGTATATATATATATACAGAGAGAAAGAGAGTAAATCTCAGACTCAGAAAATTATCACTATACAAATAATTTAAAACACATTTAAATAATGATCAGCTTAAGTAAGTTTTTAAATCCTTATATTGGTAATATGTGACAGCTTTATATAATGAGTAAAACTTGATTCAGTTCTGATTGATTCTTTTAAAAAATATTGTAAGAGACAATTAGGGAACTTTCAAAGTAAATATATGTGATAGTACTAAGTAAATTTTATCATCTTTAGTATGGCAATAATATTGTTCTCCCACAGGGAAATTACTTATTCTTAAAAAAAGTATGGTGAATTATTTAAGGGTGAATTCAAATTATATTGTAAATTCAAATTATAATTTATTATGTCAAACTTTTTTCTGAAGGTAACCTACATTCTAAATATACATAGCATTGTGTATGAGTGAAAAAAATACTGCATAATAGAATTATCAATCTAGAAATGCTAATATTCATTCTACTCATATATCACTTTTCTGAAGACTTAACATTTTTCAAAATAACAAGATTGAGGAAAATGCTTATTCTAGTAAATGAACACTTTTTTTACATTAAATGTCTCTATTCTCTTTCACTTATTTTGTAAAGTATTAATATATTTGGAATGTATTGTAAAATACTGACTTACAAGAATGTTTTTTTTTTTTTTCAACAAAAGTATATTAAAAGGAAGATGTCAGTGGAGAGCATATACTACGCAGGTTATCGTTTTAGAAAAGATCAGTTAAATGTCTCAAATTGTAAAGTATTAAGTAGGGAAACTACCAGGAAATTCACATAATAGGAGATCCATAGTCATTCTATCATAAGTGGTTCTTGGAGAGAGACTGAATGTATTCACAGTGAAAAACAATGCTATATACACACCTTATCACGGAAGCACTGACCTATGTCAGATAACAGTGTTTGAGAAAGGGACCTTTTTACTTTATAATGCCTCAGGCAATCACACTGTGAAGTTAAAAATGTGATCTTTTAAATGTGGTAATGAATAATGTTAATTCTAAGTCAATTTTTTAAATTTCTGCCCTTATAGGAGAAGCCGAAGACAAGATGTGAGACATGGAAACCCATTGACTCAATGCAGAGGATTTAACCTAAAAGGTATGAAACTGGAAGAATGATCAAATTTGGCAAAAGTAGCCATGCTTCACATCACATTTAAGTTCAGGGATCCATTGTAATTTATTAGGTCTTAAATTTTTATAGAAAGAGTCACTGTAAAAATTATTAGTGTTCATATATGACAGTTAAAATTAAATGTTATTTTTATGTTTACTGAAAGTATGTAAATCAAATATATGAGAACACAGATGCCTTGGGAATGTTTGTTAGTAGGTCTTTCATTTTAATGGTAATTACAGATACTCTTACCTATTATTTTCCTTTTGAATCAAAAGGCATTTTATATTTTTATACTTCTCCTATATTCTTTTTTTTAGGTCACTTTGATTATGATTCAGAGCTTTAAGTTCATACCTCTTCAGATGTATATTATCACACCACACCCACTACCAAAACACCTTTAATCCTCTACCATAGTCCACCGGGCCTACTAAGAAGACAATTGAAATATCACCTTTTTTGTTTTAAAGTGTCCATTTCTCTGGTATTAAGTGCATTAACATTGTTGTATAGTTACCAATATCCATCTCCAGAAGTGTTTCATCTACACAAAGTGAAATTTCATGCTCATTAATAACAACTCCCTATTTCTCCCAGCTCCTGGCAACCACCATTCTACTTTTTGTCTCTGTTACCAGCTATCCAAGTGCCTCAGTGGAATCATGTGATATTTGTCCAGTCAGAACTGGCTTACTGCACTTACCATAATGTCTTCTTTAGGGATCACTCATATAACATGTCAGAATTCCCTTCTTGTCTAAAGTTGCTTAATATTTCATTGTAGGTATATGCCACATTTTGTTTATCCACTCATCCATCACTAGACTCTTGTTTCCACTGTCTCCATTATTGTGAATAATCTTGCTCTAAGATTGCTGTGGTTTTGCAACAACAACAAAAAAAAACTCTATATACATTTCACAGTATTGCTTTGTGTCTTACAGTTAATCTAATCCTCCTTCCTATCCATACATGGAAGTACTATGTTACTGTACTTTTCCCACCAGCGGTCCCCATACACTCCAACCCTTTGCCAACTAGAAATATCTACAGACACATCTTTTTCTTGGATCCCTGGGATGCTATAGATATACTGTTGTTAACAATTAGTACTGACACTTTTATTTCTAACTTCCTTGAATCTAAACTTTTCTTTAGTAAAGAATAACATTCTTGTTACTAACTACAAGTGTAACAGGGTGGTCTCCAGGAAAAGGGGAGGTTCCAGGTTTCCTGTTCCACCCAAGGGAGGGAATAAATCCAGATCACCATTAACTGAATATATCATATATGTGTGTGTCAGTTTCCATTCATAGCAATAGTGTTCAAAGCTCTAGGGTACTGGCATTGAAAATAATCATGACTTTGTGTCAGAACCTGAACTAAACCTGTCTTTTATGGATAACCTCGCTTTATGGATAGCCTCACTTTTAATGCTCAAAGCAACTATTATCCTGACTTCATGAATGAGTATTTTGTCCAAGTCTAAACTACCAGATGGTTCTATCAGAACTTATGTAAAAACATCCTAAACCGTTTTTTTTTTTTTTTTTAACGTCAAATAAAACTGAGGCACAGAGAGGTCAGGTAATTTGCCTAAAGTTGTGCAAGCAGGATTGGTAAAGTCAAGAATCAGGTACCTCTGATTCCAAGCGCTGTTCTCAACAACTACATTCCACTTTGACCACATTTTGCTTTCCACTTCCTTCCACAGCTTCTGAATCTCGATTATACCACAGGGTATGGAGTGTAGGGGTGGGATAATGTTGTCTGAGGCTTAGGAACCCTTTAACTAAGGTATGTTTCCTCATAACACTTACTCCACTGAGGATGCCTAATTTTATAAGGATTTCTAAGAATTAAATGTTCAATGTGGTATTGATTGGATTCCTTGGAAAAGAACAATTCTTTTTAAATTTTTTTTTATTTTGTATATTTTTTGCATCATTTTTCACTTTTGCACAGTGTGTGCTTTCTCATCCCATTATAGTCCCTATAAAATTTCCAACACGGATTTACCTGTGCACCGTCACCGTAGTCTCATGTGTTCTTCCCACTTCTGTTTTTATCCTATTCCCCTCTCACTCCCTGAGAAAAGAACAATTCTTGAAGAAATAGGAATCTCCTTTGTTTTCCTCTTATTCCCTTTAGACTATATATTAAATAATATATAATATTCCACTTGTTGAGTGATTAAGACTTCTTTTGGGGGGAAGTTGCAAGAGTTGATCACAAATTTACAGAAAAATAAATGTACGTGTAGAAGAATTTACTCTAAACATAACTGCTACTCTCTCTCCTCTCCCTCTTCCTTTTTTGCTTTCCAGCATATAGAAATGCAGCTGAAATTGTTCAGTATGGAGTAAAAAATAACACCACTTTCCTTGAGTGTTCCCCCAAGTCTCCACAGGCATCTATCAAGTGGCTGCTACAGAAAGACAAAGACAGGAGGAAAGAGGTGAGTAATAACGCACAGCAACCATCAATCAGGGCTTTGGAAAGAACACTAAATCAACATCCTTCAGTGAGGTTCAGATCAAACAAAAAAGAAAAGGCAAATGAACATCCTTTTATGCCTTTGGGATGACAAGTGCCACCTTCTTTAAAATGCTTTGTCCGCCCATTTGATGGATTCATTAGAAATCCTCTCTGCCTCTCACCTCCATAACATGGGGATTGGAACAAGAGCTTAGGCACGCAGACGGGTATTGATGTGAGGAAGCATTTGTAAAGGAAACAAGATGTGTGCAAATCCAGAAGCCAAGTTCTCACACAACAGCACCTTTGTCTGATTCGCAAAATAAAAGGGGACTTGGGAAAAAAAGCTCAATTTTCTTTAGCAAGAAATTGCTCTATAACCTATGTGGTAAAAAAGCATTTTTCTGCTATGTGGTAATGTTTCCATTGCTTTATTACTCATAATCTCAGGTTTTGTTTAAGAGCTATATAGAATAATTATTTATGGAACCATTGTTTTCAGTTAGTGATAGAAATTTTTAAAAAATGAGATTTTCAAATAAAATAGCACTTATTTTAAGTTTTCACATATTGGAAAGAGCTGTTTTAAAAGAGGAAAATTATAAAAAGCATAGACTAAGTGTTATAAATGATGAATTCCATAAATTTTGATGGTACATTGTCCTGGAAAATGAAGAGAATAAATATATGTGCTATATATAAAGCCTTAGGGTAGTTTAAAATGTGATGCTATTAGCAGTACATCATAAAATCTGTTGCAAAAGGGGAAAATTAGCCTCCCACATTTCTGTGTGTTCTTCTGTTATGGGCAGTTGTGATGCTGCAAGTTAAGTTAAAAAGGTTTCTGCAAAGTGGATACAATCACAAGCTATAGAGTTCAGATGTTACATTAGAGTTACTGGAATAGATATTGAATCCATGTGAGAAAATACTTTCCAACTTTCAGACATGCCTATCCAAAGGTGTTAAAAGCTGTTTAGGCAATTTTGTGTCCCCTTGTCACAGGAATATTAAATTATAGACTGATGAATACTTGCTTAACAAGAGATTTAACTATCTGGAGCAAAGATGACCTGAACTTCAAGGTGACTTCTTATCCCAGAATTCTATAATAAAATTTTTCATTAATAAAAATGTTTATATTTTGAAGTGTTTTTTTTTTGCTAAAAAATCTGTCATGAAGTTTTGAAATTTCTCCAGTTTAATTAGTTTTAAATTCTTTTGAATTACTTTGGATAGTAACTTCATTGTAAAGTAAACTTAGGAAGAAATCATAATATGTGATGATTATACTGAAATTAATTTATTAATATGTATCATGCCACACAAATATGAACAATCCTTCTTGGAAAAGTCTGTATATTTGCATGTAAATTGAAAATCTAAAACTCAAACAGGGATTACCCTAAGGTGGATAAAATGTTTGCCTTTTATTCAGTGGAAAGTTTAATAAAATAAGTGAATATAATTACTACTGTTTAAATTTGACTAAATGAGTATATGCTGACTTGAATATATGCCATAGAAATTAATATGTGGAATTTAAAAATGTCATTATTACTTTAGTATTAAAATTAAAGATTTCATTCATCTCTGTTGTGATATTTCAATGTTTTATTTCAAAAAATGTGGAGACACAATCATTAGTTTCTTGATTTTTCTCCCAATCTCAAAAGCATAAGAATGTTTTAATTTAATAATAAAAACCTAAGAAAAGTTTTAAACTTTAAGACAATATTAACTCTAGTATAATTATAAAAATCCTTTCTGCTAAATGTGATTTTAAAAAATTAAGACAAATGCTAAAATCTCATGGAGAAAATGCTAATAATATACTCTAGTACAAAGTAAAGACTAAGTACACTCTTCCTCTCTGCTTCAATACTTAATCCCACTCCCTAAAGATAAGGCTCCAAGAATTATGTATTCCTTCTATCATTTCTCTCTCTCACTCTCTGTGCCTCTCTCTGTCACACACACACACACACACACATGCACGCACGCACACACACATACTTTCATAGCAGTAACTTTCAAACTACTTCATTTTTATTGAATGCATAGGATTTCATTGTATAAACACAGCTTAAGGATTTTGTTGCTGATTTTTTGTTGTTTTTCCAAATTACATTTATTGAGGTACAGTAGATTTACAACTTTGTCTTTGTTCCAGAAGTTATAATTTCAAACCGCTATTGATACATACTCTTTACACCTCGCACAACAGCCAAGCCCCAGCAAAGTTTACTACATTCTATTGGGGTCCTTCCCTCACCCACTCTCATCCCACCCTCTCCTCTGGTTGCATCAATTTTGCAATCAAATGCTGAGTTATTTTTGTCTTGGTATTGAGTGATCCTTTTGTCATTTTTTCCATATTCCAAATATAAGTCATACCAGCTGATGTTTATGTTAGCATTATCTTTTGTAGTTCCATTCATGTTGCTGCAAATAACAGGAGTTTATCCTTTTTAATAGCAGAGCAGTATTCAATTATACACACACACGTATGCTCTATTTTTCTGATTTGTTTCCCTATTCTTGGGCATGTAGGTTGTCTCGATAACTTAGTTACTTATAAATAGTGCTGCAATGAATATAGGATTGCATATATCCCTTAAATTTGTGCTTCTATATTCTTAGGGTTGATACTATGAATGTAATATCTGGGTCATCGGTAGATTCATTTTAACATTTTTGAGACAATTCCTTACCTTAATTTTTTTTTAAGTTATCTCCTAGGAATCTCTTTTATCCCTTCTTATATAAAACATGATGCAAATGAGTACAGGGATATTTTTGAGGGAATATTATCCATATAAATTCATGGAAATATAATTTTACCAAATACTATACATGCATTAAATGGATAATAACATGGCATCTAAAATGTTTTCAAAATTTTCTGCAATGGGAAGGATTTTCTCTTCATTCATTTTGGATGGTATTTCTATATTACTAAAACTCTCTGAGACACATTGAAACTTTAAAAATTAAATTAACATCAAAACATCACTTTATAGAGAGATAGGTAATCAGTCCTACTTCCTCAGTTCCCTTCTATTGTCTGTATTTCAATACTATACTTTGCCTTTTTATGCGTGCTAGTTTTTTTTAATTTAAAACAATGTCTCTGACTTAGATTTAATTAATAGTAAATAATGCGTTTACATTTACACAGAAATTTAGCATTTAGAACAACATTTCACAACATTTCCTTTATTTTGACTTAAGTAAAAAAAAAAAAAAAAAAAAAAAAGACTTGTTTTCAGTGAAAGAGCATTCCAGAATATACAAGTCAAGAAAAACCCTTACCACTTAGGCTTTTATTTGTGTATTGACAAGCCTATATATTTGGAATTGTAAAGATCTATTTAAGGAGGTTAGCTGATACCCAGCAAATGAAAGTTTTCTAGTATAAATCTGCAAAGAAGATAGTAATCTCATAGCTCTCTACTATCTGTATTTGGAAAGTAAAACAAACAATTCCAGAAACACAAGACAATGACTTTCCAGTTTATTTTTATTCAGTCTTTACTATAAGATAATTGGGAAAACCCTTTGACAAGGCTTAAGACTCTGCCTCACATAATTTTTAGATAGGCTGATATTCATTTATTCATTGAAAAAGGGAAAAACTCAACCCTCTAATTTTAGTTTTAATATTATACAAACAATTGAGTAAATCCTCATATAATAAAAGTCGAGAGTTCCTGGTTTAGATAATTATCTATGAATTTCAATTTTTGTACTGATTGTGTGTGAGTCACATTCCAAAAGCAACCAAAACTCTATGTTTATATGTAGAGTAATTTCTTCTATTCAAAGGGAACGCACTTTCAACTATTTTTAGCAATATGAGTAATAACTTACCCTTTATTTAATAGATTTGGTACCACTGATTTCCTGAGCAAAAAAAAAAAAAAAGTGTGTCCCTTGTACAAAAGAAACAAATTAGTACTTTTTTGCTTTTGCTGAATTTGTGAAAATCAACAATGCTCCATGTATATGGTCATAATTTGTTGGAACCTGTGGAACTGGGTTTTAGAACTTTGATGTGTTTCATAGGTCAAGCTGAATGAACGGATCATAGCCACTTCACAAGGACTCCTGATTCGCTCCGTTCAGGATTCTGACCAAGGACTATATCACTGCATTGCAACAGAAAACAGCTTCAAGCAAACCATAGCCAAGATCAACTTCAAAATTTTAGATTCAGAGATGGTAGCAGTCGTGACAGATAAATGGTCCCCATGGACTTGGGCCAGCTCAGTGAGGGCTCTACCCTTCCACCCGAAGGACATCATGGGAGCATTCAGCCACTCTGAAATGCAGATGATCAATCAGTATTGCAAAGACACAAGACAGCAACATCAACAGGGAGAAGACTCCCAAAAGATGCGAGGGGACTATGGCAAGTTAAAAGCACTCATCAATAGCCGGAAAAGTCGAAACAGAAGAAATCAGTTGCCAGAGTCATAATGTTTTCTCACCCACGGCTTAGGCTTACTGTGACAAATAGTCCTCTTTAATTATCAAATTTAGAATCTTAGGTTTTACCCATGGAAACATCCTGAGAATAGTGGTCACTCACTCTTAAAGTGAATATTCATGACCTGAAATAAGCATGCATTTTTTGTATGATATTGACTAGCACTAGACATGTCATTGTCCTCATGGTGCATCTAAATATTTAACTTAATCCAGATTTTATTTATATCTTTCTTTACCACTTCTTCAAAGTCAATACAGTGGCTATAAAGTAGAATTTTTTTATATTCCTTAATTGAGCAAGGGCCATAACCCTGGATCTCCCTTCTTTGTTTTAGGGGTTTTGATTTCTTATTATCAGCAATTTTATATGTGAAAACAGATGCCAGGTTTACAACTTTTACATAGTAAGAGTTTTGTAAGTGCATGTGATACAGTAGCTGTAAGAAGGAATGTAGAATAGAGGGAAAAAGGCATCGAAAGTTTTACAAAACCTAGGTAATTCACAAAGAGAAAATAAGTTTGTTTCCAGTGAAATATATAATTATTTTTTAAGATTTTAGACATCATCAGTTGCTGATATCTAGTATTGTTTTTTGTCCCCTTGTTTCAGAAATAAAATGAATGGCCCTCACTATAAATACCTTGATTGGAACTATATCAGTGAAGCTTTTAAGTTTATATTCTTACGTTATCACCTTCCAAACAAAAGTGCTTTCTTTTATTGGAAGTTATTTAAGTTATTTTTGACTCAGAGAATATAATCTTAAACTGTTTGATTACTGTGTTTGTTCCTACTTCTTGCTTTGTGTGGCAAATTAAACAACATATGAAGCAAATTTTTCTGAAGTTTCAAAGTTGTATATGAGGGGTAAAATAAATTGGAAAAAATATAGAAAATGCAATTTTATTAAGAGAAGTTTATAAAATTTATGTTTTTTTTAATTTCAGTAATTAATTCCACTTATTAATTTTCATCTTTTTTTCAACCTCACAAAGCATACTCATTTTTAAATGTCACCAATTCAGTTTTTATAATCTTTTGTTTGTTTTAAAGAGGTTCTCAATATATTGAGAGATGAAAAAATAAACTTAAATACAAATAGGCATATGTTCTTTAAGAAAACTATTGGTCTATTATGTTCATTGGCATTTAAATACAAATGGTAAATTTTGTGATAAATAAGATAATTATCTTCAAATTTTATGTTTGGATCTTTTTTTGTTAATAATTTGATAGTAAGTGCTTTGTATCAAATAACAATTAAATGAGAAAATACGAAGTTTCTTTATATTCTCTTCTCAAAAATCACAATTTGTTCTTTCATGTTATTGAATTTTAAAGACATTTTCATGATTCTAAGTGCAAACAAATTGCAACATATATTAATAAACCAAGAAGAAGGTAATCAAAGTAGAGATCATTTTTTAAAACACTACACTCAAGAACTAAGATTATTATCAAAATGAATGTAATAATTATGAATTAGAATATAAGAATAGGATGTATTATTTAAGGGATAGTAAACTTGTGATACATAAGAGGAGAGTTCCATGGTCAAAAATAGCCTTAAAATACACAACATAAATGAATTTTTAAAAAATTATTTTAAAAAGCTATTGTTCAAAATATGTATAATTATAAAGTAATGACTAAAGCAGTTTATTGTACAAATGGTTTACCTGCTTTAAGGTTACAATTAGATTTTTACTCCTCTATATGCACAAATAGAAATGTTACAATAATAAGCCAAGATCACCGTCAATATTTATGGCCAAGCTATTCAATGAACAGAGTTAACAGTTAAATTGTTTTGGAGTCTAAGAATGGGGTACCACACAGTTCCCCTGCCTTGTGTCAACCCAATCTGAGAGACTATAAGAATGTTTAGTTGTGAAATATTATTTGTGCTATTTAATACCGTCTACTTTGGATATTATTAAATTGTATATACTTTCATTGGTTTTAAAATCACTGAAATCCTTCTTGAACATCACTGCCATGTGTAAAGAAAATTTTGTTTCTCAGATTTAACATATGATTGTTGGTGGTTGGTTTTCTTTTGTGTAGTTTGACTATTCTATGACTTACTATGTTTTTCCATTTGTATTGTACATAAAATTTCCTAGAAATGCACTTTTTTTCAAAGTGTAGGTTTGTGAATAGGTTTTAGCATGATGAAACTGTCCTTAACAGTGAATGTTCACTCTGTAAGAAAACAAATGTAGTTAGTTAATATTTAATTGGATTTTGAAGAATCAATTGCCTGGTAAAATAAAACATGTTGAATTCCTCATGAATGCCTCTAACTTTTTTGTTAATTATGGATTTGTAAATACTTTTGGACATGATAGAACCTACTTAATTTTATAATTTTTTTCTCTTAAGTTTGTTTATTTGCCTATTCATTTTTGTGAAAATAATACATCTGAACATCTCAAAACTAAAAACTTTCAGAAAGTTATACATGGAAAGCTCTCTTTATACCTTTATCCTTGTTTATGCAAGTCCAAATCCCAGAAACATCCAATGTTGTTAGCTTCTATGTATATTTCCATATTTTGTACACTTGTTTGCAAATTCAACTGTTTTCTCCTTAGAGGCAGTTATCAGTAGAGCATTATTTAGACTATGTTGTGTCTACAGTGGCAAAAAAAAAAAAAAAGTATAAGAATGTGTGGGCTGAGAATGCCTGGGTTTGAATACAAGCTCTTATCTTTGGAAAGTAATTGAATCTCTTCCGGCCTGAATACTTTGTCCAACTTTATTCCGGTAAAATATGAGGACAAAAATATGATAAAGTTAGTAACCAATAAATGTCTTACTGCTTTATTTATTTAGAAAGTGACACCTTGTTAGAACAAGAAGAACTCCCAGTTGTGTTCTTTGGTCAAGTTAAATGCAAGTTTTTCAAGTTGAGGAAACAGCAGTCAGTGGATCAGGTAAAACCTTTCTTTACAGGTAAAAATAAATAAATAAATAAATAAATAAATAAGGGGAAGAAAGCCACAGGTTTAAATAATTATGCTAACAAATTGAGTGACAAAAGTATTAAAAATTTCTTCTGTTTACTTGTGGTCTTTTAATGTAGTGTGATGGGAGAGAAAAAAGAAACAACAAGAATATGAAAGTACCTTGACAAATCTTCCCATCATATGATTCTTTACTACTGATTAATTACCTTATTATTTGTTAGTATCTCTCTCATTTAAAGTCCTATTTAATTTTAATTTTTAAAAAAATTGAGTTATTTTCTTATAATTTAAATTCATTTTAATGCTTTATGCTGCCTACCAAAGTGAAACAATAAAAAGATGGTAGATTCTTATATCTATTCTTCCAACTAAAGTCAAAAGAGACCTTGAAGCTTTACTTAGCAGCATAGTTAAGCTTGTACAGAACTTAGGTCCAAACAAGGAAATAATCATACTGAGCAATAGTGTTTACTTAGCCAGAGAATTGAGAATTTTGTTGATTTTTTTTTTGTGATGACTAATCTGTAGAAAACCATTATGGAGATTTTTTTTTTCCTTAAGAATTTAGCCCACTTTTTTTTTTTATCCAATTATGTTTTCAGAAAGAATACAATTCCCCTTGCTCAATCAAAATTAATTATAAGTTATAGGTATATATCGAGTGAATTTCATTAACAATACATTGTTTTTCGTAACGGAACTCTGCTAATATCTTTCAATTTTAATGGCTTCAATATTACTTTCATCATCCACAGGTAATAAGAATTTATAGAATTAGCTCAAAGAAAAAGCCATCTTCTCTCTAGTGACTAATGTATTTGTATGTTCACCTCATAAAATACTACTTCCCACAGAGTTTGAATTGTGTATTTCTCATGGCTATTATGTTGCCATGCTTGAGTGTTTCTTACATAAGTGCTATTAAAAAATGGCATTATAACACATACATTAAAACTGTTCATTTTATATAAGATTACCACTCAAATCCTGAGCACAGAAGCAGGGTGAATTGTACTCCTGTTTGTTTGTTTGTTTTTAAGATTTATTTATTTATGCATACAGAACTGGGGTACAGGCCAGAGGAACAGGGGCAGTGAGAGGATTCACCAGAAACAGAGCAGGGAGCATAACAGGCAAACCTACAAAGTACATAGCTGAGGGGAGCAGTGGGCGGATCAGGAAAGGTCTGCCATGCCATGTGGTCACCTCCGTGCCCTGGCATCAAACACACTGAAGCGGTTGCAGCCAGTTTGCAGTGCTGCGTCCTAAACTGTTGTGCCATCAGGGAGGGCCATGTTTTGTTTTTTCCGAATTATTTGTACAAAAATGTCATCCAGGCATGCTTTACAATGAAAAACAATGATTTCTGCATGGCAAAATTAATATAAATGGGCTTACGGTGAAAAATAGAAGAAATGTATTATTATTATTTCAAATAGCATAGCGCAAAATAGTTACATGTTTCTTGATGAATTATTGCTTTCTCTAATATTGGAATAATACAATATCTATTACATGTAGTAGTTGTGAGAATTCACTGAGTTAATACATGTGTGCAATCCTAGAGTACCTGATACATAGTAAAAGCTCAGTAATGTATGCTATTATTCGTTCATTAGGAAAACAAAATCATTTTTTTTAAGTATTTAATTATTTGTCCCTTTTCTACCTTAAATTTAAATTTTATGTAAGTGGGCCAACTGGTATTTTATGTTGTTTATCTGTTTTGGCATATAAAGCAACTATTTTTCTTTCTTTTTAAACGTTTCCATCAATTCACAGATGTTCTCTCAGTTGTTCTTGTCACAGATGCAGAAGCCTTCCAGAGCAAATGAGGTTTCCTCTCTGTCCAAACACACTTAAGGGAATAGGAATTTTTTTGCTATTCTTGCATGATCTGGAAGACAAGCAAGTCAGTCCCACCCAGAACAATGTGTGTGTGTGCGTGCGCACACACACATGTGTGCTTTGCCCTTTCAGGACCTTGGACTTTCTCAAGATACAGAACTGAAAATGAGGTAGAAATATAGGATCCACAGGCCTTGCATGCCACCGCCTCTTCTCCCAATTCACTCTTAATCGCTGTGGCCTGACAGTAAGGGTTGTCATTAAATATCCCTTGTGAGCTTGAGTAATAGATTCCATTCTTTAGCAGTCCAGTATCCCCAAGAGAATTTTGAAAAGCTCTGTAGGACCAAACACATACATTAGTTAACATCCAAATTTTTATTCAAAGTTTTAGTAGTTGCATAGGATATAATTTGCAGCATGATACAAAGTTTGACATCTTTCAATGAAACAACTATTTTCTAAAATGACAGCAGTAGAATCTAAATATAGGATTACTTCCCTTATTTTTAAATAATAAAACAAATTTTAAGGGAAATTTTATATTGTTCCTATTTGTCCTTACTCATATTTCTAGCCTACTAGTTCCACAAATGTGATTATATTATGTTAAATTTTATATTTT